ATCAACCGGACCATAAAAGTCTTCAAATAACACAATAGAAAGGAGTAGAAGTTAGAGAATGTAGAAAGTTCAAACAATATCAAACTCAACTTCAAGGTACTTGATAGAGTTTTCCTGAAAGCGTTATTTATCCCACCAATTCAATAATGCACTTGGGAACGCAATTGTGCTTCCAGGATACAATGAAGTCATCATGTTGTCTGTGTTGTACATCGATAAAAACATCCTAAACATCAAAGATTATAAATGTATAAACTCAAGGCTTATACTTTTATCTCTCGAGAATGACACAGTATAAACATGTTTTATGGAGAGAAAATATACAAATAAACAAGTTTAATATGCATGAAAAATAAGGAGACAAATTAATATTATATTTGTTTAGTATCAAAAGTCTATATCAAGTGAAAACAAGATGTTAGCCCCCGAAATGACTTATTCTAAGGATCGAAGTTTGCAACAAGCACAAAATTGTAGAAAATTAAAGAAAATCAGAACACAAAGGATTTTTCCCCCCGAAGGGCTCGAATGTTTAGTCTTGCAACCTATTCACCCATTGAGCGTCTACAATGAAATATAACTCTAGATCCACTAAGAAAAACCAAGAATCAATACGGAATGTACAGAAGAAACCATCATTTTCTTCGAGTTCTTTGTCGCTTCTTCTATAAATCGTAATCACACGACCATCAATCCCTTAATGATTGTACACAACAATCAAATACTCACAAAAAATAGAGATTGAAAACCACGAAGATCGATTACAGATTTACAAGAGAAAACCTAAATATCACTCAGAGAGAGAGAAACACGAAGAGTCTGAAAGAATGGAACCCTCATCAAAATCAAAGAGCCAAGATCAAGTCAAGTATCTATCTAACTCAACAGTCACAATCCAAGGGTCAGAATGTGACGTGCAGATTCTCAATCTTCAAGAGGCAAAAACGTATTTCACTTAAACTCGAAATTGTACTGGCTCAATTGCACAAATAGCCCAACATGCCAAGTAATAGTGAGGCAACCCAAATACATTAACCATCACCACCTTGCTGAGCTATTCATTGGCCTTTACTAATGTATCTAGTCATCTATATATATTGCTTCATTTGCTCTAAAACCTGTAAAAGAAGAAAAACAATTTTAGTTCAACTCTTTTTAACAACAATACTTGAAGTTCTAATTATCACAACATCATGTGATATTCAGAATCTTCAAGCAATTTCTAAATTTATTTAAAGGTAATACCTTAGTCCCCAAATCTTAAGGATTAAATTTTGTAGGAATTTTAACCAGACTGATCAAACATTTTTCTATCATATTTCTTACAAAATGAAACTTTATGTCTATGTGTTTAGTTCTATCATGATAAACATGATTTTTACTTAAATGAATAGCACTTTTATTATTAGTGTAAATCCTAATAGAATCATTCACCAAGCCAATTTCATTTAACAAACCTCTTAATCACATACTTTCTTTTACAGCATCACGTACAACAATATATTCAGCTTCAGTTGAGGACAATGCAACTAATTTTTGTACACGTGACTTCCAACTAATGCAACCATCACACAAAGTGAAAATGTAAGAAGGTGTGGATCTTCTTTTATCCAAGTCACCAACAAAATCAGAATCAGTATAACCTTTCAATTTTACCCCTTCATTACTTCTTTTAAATTCTAAACCTAAATCAGAAGAGCCTTCAGAGTATCTCAAAATCCAATTCATAGCTAGCCAGTGTGTTTCACTTGGGTTGGCCATAAACCTACTTAAAATGCTAATTCCATGTGTGCTAGGTCAGGTCTAGTACACACCATGAGATACATTATTGAACCTATAGTGTTTGCATAAGGTACTTTTTCCATTCTTCTGAATTCATCTTATGTTTTAGATAATTGTTCACTAGTCAATTTAAAATGATTAGCAATGGGCAAAGTAATAGGTTTACACCCAAATATAGAAAAAATTTCAAGTATTTTCTTCACATAAGAGCTTTGTTTTAACAACAATATGGAATTATCCCTATCTCTTTCTATTTTCATTCCAAGAACCCTTTTAGTTTGTCTTAAATCTTCCATTTGAAATTCAGATTTCAATTTTGATGTAATTCTTGCGAAGTCCAAACTCCATTGGAACATTCCTATTCCACCGATAAGTTTTGCTGTTTGTTAGCAAGATCTCTTTCCTAACTCACTCAGGTGAAGATCTTTACAGAATTCAAGGAATAATTTATGATGAATTATACGTTTTTATGCTATTGTAGTGGGACTATGCACGAATCAAGTGAATTTATTCACTGGCTGGGTTTTTGACATTGGAGTGGTGACATCGTTAGCTCTAAAGCCTTCAGTTTTTTGCAATATAATCCATGTGCTAGTAGTGATTGGGAAGTGATACTAAGAATGTAGGTAGTAGCAAATCACCAAATGAAAGAGAATGCCTATATAGAGTGTTAACATCCAATTGTTATATGGACCAATTGTTTGGACCCTTTGAACCCACGTGTTATGAAAAATCGGAAGAGATTAATGGAACAATATGAAGTATTGATTGCTCACCAAACAAGAACAAGATTTAAAGTAAAGTAAAGAAAAAATTGGCAGAGAAACCGATATTTTATTAAACAACCAATTGAGAGAAAATACAATTTCTGCTCTAAAAAACTAATGAAGAGTTTACTATTTATAGGGAAGATGTCCAAACCAAAGATAAAAACAAGATAAAAATAAATCATGTGAAATAAAGGAAATAATATTTTTCCAATATTTTTTCAATAAAACACGTGAAATAAAGGAAATAATATTTTTCCAAATACGTGCAAAGAATGAAAAATATATTCCTAAAAATTTCAACTTAATTTGGGTCACAAAATCCAACAATTTCCACATTGACACAAATTCTGGTGCAACGAACGAAACTCCAATATTTTTCCAACTGGAAAATAAGTCCAACTGCATCAGAATAAACCAATCTCTTCATCCAACAATTTCACCTCTGCCCAGTGTCCAAAAGCGACACCCGAACCCAACCCTGGATTCCCAAAATTCCAACAAAGAATTCAACAAATACCAAATAGGGTCGAAGCATACCTTGTAGCAGAATCCCTACCAAATGCTTGAATTGAAGGCCCCTTGCTAGAACTGTCACCTTCAAATACCCCGAAAGCATGATCACACACATTTGAAACCCGGTACCTATGCTCCATGAGTCCTCATTTAGCAAATGACTCAGAGCCCAACATGAAAGGTACTGTACCAAACTGGATCTTTTCCACAGTACTAAACATGTCTAGATGTCTCTTCACTAGTTCTGCGCACCTCTGTAAGATATACAGTTGAGAACTCTTCTGTCCTTCTAGCACAACACGGTGACCCCTTTGGACTTTCAAGAATCCACCGGAGAATGTGTACCTATAAGAATCCAGGGTACTCAACGAGATGAGATTCTTCCTTAAGTCTGGAATATGCCGAACCTGGCCAAGAACTCGAACTGTCCCATCTAATAACCTCAATCTGACTTGACCCATTCTAGCAACCTTACAGGATTGGTTGTTTCCCATGACAACTCCACCTTACTTCACCATTTCATATGTTTCAAACCAAGCCCTATTGGGACACATATGGAACGGACACGCTGAATCCAGAATCCACTTCTCATTTGGCTTAGATTCCATGTCAGATACGGTCAGCATCACATCTTTGCCATCCGAAATCTCTCGACAATATTAGTCTCATCCGAATGATCCGATTGCCTCCTATGATTTACATATAAATAACCTTTACCATGCAACTTGTTGCAATCCTTCTTGATGTGTCCTTTTCTCCTACAGTAGAAGCAAACTTGATTGCTGAAGTTCACCCTCTACCTACCCCTCCATCGATCACCGTATGAAACCAGAGCTTCCTCATCCTTAGCTCTAACAATATGCTTCATCTTCTCCGTTGAAAATGAAGCTTCATAAGCATCGTTAATGGTGAGTGTGTCATGAATGTATAAGATCGTGTCCCTGAATGACAAATACGAAGTCTGCAGTGAGTATAACAGGATCAATGCCAGATCAACGATGATTTCCTTGAACACAGTCAGATGGTCCTCCAAAGAACTCACTTCTGCCATGCGATGAGAATAAAGTCTCTGCTTCAGATACAATTTACTCGTTAATGTCTTCGTCATGCACAGTTGCTCCAGTTTTAACCACAATGCAGCAGCTAATTTCTTCTTAACTACGTCCTGAAGATTGCTGTTAGAAAGATGAAGATGAATCATAGAAAGCGGAATGAATCCAAAAGTGGAATGTCATACTTCGTGGCAGCCATCGAAACTAGAAATCTCAAATAAATTCAATAAGCTGTAGCCCGACACCACTTGTTGGGACCCTTTGAACCCACGTGTTGTGAAAAA